CACCGCCCTGCCGCCAGACCACCGCCCTGCCGCCTCCCACCACCGGACCTTTGCCCGGCCGCCGTCTGCCACCGAACCTTCCCCCGGCCGTTGTCTGCCGCCGGACCTTCGCCCAGCCGTCGGACTTCAGCCCGATGTTCGTCGGACCACCGCCTGGCCGCCATCTACCGCCGGACCTTCGCCTGGCCGCAGCCGCCTACCGCCGTTTGCCAGGCCGCCGCCCACAACTGGACCTTCGCCTGGCCGTCGCCCGCCACCGAACATCCGTACGACCGTCTCCAGACCTTTGACTGTCTCCCCAAATTACTGTAATTCGACCGCCTCTAAATCGAGGGACGGGTCAACCCTTGTAATTCACTCAAGTTTAGTGCAAGGCCCCATGGTTTTTCCCTCTTCGGGCTTTCCACGTAAAAAAAAAATTGGTGTTCTACTTCTCTCTTTCTGCTTGCGTGCTGGATCTTCGTACAATGCTAAGACGCTAAACTTTATTTTTCTCTATTGTCGTGAATATTCCTGGACGCAACAATGTTATTTAAATTTTATTTGAATAATTTTAATATTTGTTATGTCATTTTTAGTTCAACCCTTGTTTTGATCCTAGCTAAACTATTAAACCTTGAAACTTCTCATTCTCGTTATACATCGGGCCCAATCTTCACAATCTTGAAAGAAAGTAAGTTAATAGTCCTTGAGGACTCCTTTAATTCATACTTAGAATCATTCACTGGACACATCAAACGCCTTGTTTAAATCAAACAATTTCAACATTGGTGAACCCATCAATGGCTCCTTGTATTTGAAAGAGGCTTTTAGTAGTGGTCCAATAAAATTCATCCTTTTTATGGAATTGGGTGATCAAAGCCATGGTGTTATTGAATTTGTGGATAAATCTTCAATACAAGATGGCTAACCCATGAATACAACGCACAATATGAAGCGAGGTTGGCATGAGCCAATCCTTGATAGATTTGATTTTTTCAAGATCAATAGAGACATGTTACTTTTGAAAGAATGAAGCAAAAAAAAATCACAAAGGAAATCATGAATACGCTTCAAATGAAATAAAGTGCCTTGAAAACCTTATAAGTGGCACAAATGCTTTGTCCTAATATGGCTAAATATAAGGATGTATACAAAGCAGACGAAGAGGAATTTCATAATGACTGTGTAGAAAATATGAGTCATTTCCAGCATAAAGGTATTGCGATTATTGGATAAACCAAATAACATTATCACCCACTCACAAAAAATGTCTTTTGTCTAAAAGGTCATCTTTCAATCATTTCCTTTGCTCATGCAAATTTACACCCATATTTTATGATAAAATTAGCTTCTCAAAGATTTTTCATGAAAAAGAAACCTAGTGAAAACTTCTAAGATTACTGATTGGACATAGTCGTACTCAATGTCTTATAGTGTTGTTGATGATATTTTTTTAAGATGCAAATTGGACGCACTGACACCTTTGAATTGAGTTAGTATAATCAAATCAATGGCCAATAGTGCAATGGGTAAAGCAAGTTAGATCAAATGTCTTAGAACTAGATCTTCTGGTCATATATTTACCTTTAAGATCAGTGCATACCGTAGGAGTAGAAGATGAGGATTGGGTAGGCTTTTAGTTGAGAACTAGTACTAGAGAAGGTATAAAATTTAAAGTCTTACGTTTCAGATATTGCTCAATCTAAAGAGCAAGAGAGCACCAATAACAATATAAAATTTATGAATTAACATTTCTTATCAAATTTTGGATCATAAACCTTATCAAAATCTCAAAATTATAGTCTGAGGGTCCACGATAACATTACAATGGATCATAAGTTCATCAAAGGGAGTCATATAATCAACAATGGATTGAGATCCTTGTTAAAGGGTGATTAATTCACCTAGGAGTTAGTAATGAAAGGTTAACGGAAGATATTTATGCTTTAGGGTCTCTTTCATCTCCATATCTTGATTGGTGGATGTCTTCACCGAAGTTTTGTAGTTTGAGATTGTCCCAATATATCTTGGCGTAGCTAACAAATTTCATGTGAGCAAATCTAACTGGATTCTCTTAAAATAAATAAATAAATAAATAAAAACTTGATACTCCATTTAGACTTGGTCATGGCCATCCAATCAAAGTGTTGGTTCATGTCTAGAACAAGTCAGGGAAAGTTTGTGTCAAGTTAACCATTAAAAGTTGATAGAACAATTTTTTAGTTTTTGAGTAATGTAATTATTTAGGCCTCGGTGCATATGCCTTGAGATGGCATATTGGTGATCCACTCCATATTGTGGCTCCTTATTAGGATAAGGGTAACAATCATGGGATGGTCGTGGATTGTAACCATTGTTTTGCTTCTTAGAGGCCTCCATATGATTAGGAGCCCTTTCATCTTGAGATAATTATAATGTTCATCTTTCAGAAATGGATAATGATGATGATGATGATGGGTCTAGTTAAGGTTGTAGGATTTGAAATAGGATTAGGAGTTAAAATGGGATGAGGAGGTGGTTTCATATTGATATCCTCATGAGAGATCTCATGGGCTAGTTGAGCATAAGTGTGTGGGTCCTATCAACTCTATATTTAACTGTGTTCAACCTTGTTTGTACTTCTCGATAGGTTTGTTGGTGAAAATGTGAAGTTTATCTATTTATTCTTGTAAATGAGGGGAGAGGTTCTTACATTGATGATTCCGAGCTTGGCCAATGTAGTGATAACAGTATGAGTTGACATTATGGGAAAATGAGCTTTGACAATTTTATGCTTCTATTTTTGCAAATCTGGTATTAATGTGTTAGGAATTTAAAAATCTTTTAATTGAAAATTTATAAAAGGTGTCAAGCTAATGAAAATTGATTATTTAAATGAAGGTTGTAATGTTAAATGAAAATGAAGCCTGATCATAGAGTATAAAGTGCAAGAAACATAAAATATATATATGCAATTTTTTGGCAACAAATTAGTTTGGCTTAATGTGAATTAATTTAAAGAGATTTTCACACATAATTGAGGACACTCATAAAATTTCAAGCAAAAGCACATTGGTATGGTATTTGTAAAAATTCAAATAATAAAGTAACACTTAAAACACATTAACGAATTTCTACGTACAAAATATTTCTAGAGGAAAATACTTGTTTTAATGCCAAATATAATATAGCACGAATTCAAAACTATATTTTGATATAGAAATAAACTAGAATGCATTGTGTAAGTAAGATAATGTTCAACTGTAATTCAACAAAAGCAAACTTCAATAAGTTAGGGAAAGTTTAATATGGTTGATAACTAGTGTGAATCCAAAGAATTAATGAAGTTTAAGCGGAGCACTTAGCAACTACAGTTCTCAACCATAAAAAGATGTTTAGCCTTATGATTGTAAAGAGAAAACATCAAGTTAGGGAAGGATCTAACCATAGGAGAGTTGACCATTCTATAGGTGAAGTAGCAGATAACTTAAAGTCAACCTCCCCAAATAGTGCTTCAACATGTAGTTCTTTTTTGTAGAAGACCTAGTTCGAAGATTTATACGTACTCTCACACTCAAGACATCCCTTACTTGAGAGAGAGAAGAATACTGAAAAAGCACAAGTAGCTTTATACTCAAAGCAAGTTCTTTGAAGTTTTCCAATAGCTTCAAAGTATTTCAAAGGAAAAAAAAAAAAAAGTCAAGAAAGGAAGGTTGGCCCCATGGTTTTTTGAATGAGTTTGAATTTAAGAGAGAGAGTGTGTGTGATGAGCTAGTCATGCCTAATAATAGAGAAAAAAATGGTGTTGTCAGGGTTATGTGGTTGTCAATATACAAGACATGGCTCATGATCATAATATATGAGGATCGAACATAATGTACAATATATTGACTCGAAAATAAAGCGCATCATAATGGATCTTAGGCGCACTGTCGTCTAGACTTAATGATAATAATGACGACATTCAAGGTGTGTCCTGCACACTCTGTTATGCATGCCAAAATAATTTTGATTTATCTTTTATGTCTTGATCAATAGGTCTTATTTGTTTGCTTTCTCCAATAGCCATCTCATTCTTTTGCATTTTGTTAGCTATCCATTGTGGCAATCCAATTTCTCAGCACTTGCCAAAATAATTCCTATTAATCAGGAAGCATATGCAGCATAAGTTTTTTTTTTTAATCTGTAGAAAATCCTATAGAAAAACAAAAATTGTCTTGTGCCACCTTCAATGATCGCTATCCAATGGTGTGTTGCTTCCATGTTGTTACCTCTAACACCATTACTTTACAAGTCATCTGACCTTTGGTAGAGAGACAAACTTGTGCATTCGAAACTTCCATCAATAATACAATTTTATCTTGGCCAAGCCCCAAATTTTACCTATAGGATTTCTTACATAAAAAATCTATCTTTTAACGTATGTGTGCCAGATATTCTAAACCTGAATTGAAAGTAGTTTTCATATTCCCTCAGTTTGTAAGAATAGTTCAAACAATTATAAAACTTGATTGTTTATGAGTTTTTTTATTTTTTTATTTTTTTGTTTCCAGTGGTGTATGCTTGTACTCATGTACCATTATGCCATTTCGAGTATTACATTTTAATATATTCACCGGCCTTGTTCATTTCAAATAGTAGCATCTTAAGCTAGTCATCGACAGCCTCATCTTTCTATTTGCCTTCATAACTTCAATTGAGATTTCTCTTCCTTCCAAAATTTTCATCTCGTTTACCATTATTTAGATTAATGGTTGCTTCAGGTTGAATAAAATTTTTCTACTAGTTTTCTGAACTACTACTAAATCAGTCTATTGCTGCGCAGCTGGCGGATGTATGGTCTTGTGGTGTCACTCTATACGTGATGCTTGTAGGAGGCTATCCCTTTGAAGACCCAGAAGACCCTAAGAATTTCAGGAAGACAATACAGGTTATAAATTCTTCATTCCTCAGTTTCTTCTATTGCTAATAAGCTCATGAAATTCAGTTACTTGAATTAAAATCTGTGATGAGCCAAAGTTTTCATTGCTGAAGCTTCTTTGATCATAGAGAATAATGTCAGTTCAGTACACCATACCCGACTATGTCTATATTACACAGAACTGCAGACAATTACTTGCCCGTATCTTTGTCGCCAGCCCAAGCAGAGTAAGTTACTTCGACATTCCAAACCTTTTTCATGAGGGCATCAATCTCACTATGTTGTACAATTTTAAACAAATTATACTGGCCAACACGCACATGAAAAACTTCTTTCCATCTATTTCTGTCCAAATAAATGTCAAAGCTGGCAATTAATCTGAATTGTTTTGAATTTAATGAGGTGAGGAATCAAATTGAGCACTTTGAAAAGACAGATTAAAATGAACAAAACTAAAAATTTATAAACCATTTTGATCATTTTCTCCTTATGTCGTATGGGTTCGCTTATATATTTCTCAAAAATTGCAGAGAATAAGGATGAATGAAATAAAGAACCATCCATGGTTCCTGAAGAACTTGCCAAGAGAGCTGACAGAAACTGCCCAAGCTGCGTACTTTAAGAGGGATAATAACACTCCGACCTTTTCTCTCCAGGCAGTGGAAGACATAATGAAGATTGTGCGTGAGGCCAGAACCCAGTTACCATCTTCAAAGTCTATATTGGGCTATGGCTGGCCTGTAGATGATGAAGAGGAAGAGGAAGATTATGAGGAACTAGAGGAAGAAGAAGAGGAGGAAGACGAAGATTATGAAGAAACTATTACAAAAGCCTCTATTGCATATTCTAATGATGCCCCTGCATCTTCTTCCAGAAGCAGAGAATCTCCTCCTGTTGGCGCCAATAGGTTAAATTCTGAAGAATTCCTTAGCTACGACTTTGATTTCCAATGAATTTGGATCTATTAGTGGAGAGATTATTACGTTGAGTCGTCCGGAGGACAATTAGGATGTTCTACATCACCTGATACACTGCGGTATACAACAACAATACACAACGTATTGGTTATGTGGCGTGTTCTGATTGGTCTCCTGACGACATCCGATAACCGAATGTAATAATTTCGCCTCTTCTTGATGCGGGTATGGATTTCGGTGGCTGCTATCTTTATTATAGTTTTATAAAATAGTTTTCTATAGTTTTGTACATAGTTCAAACACTATTTTAACATGGATTTGATAGCACGAATATATTATCGCATGGAGGCCTTGCTTTTGTAGCATTATCTTAATAAAAGAAAATTGTGTTATATCAATAAAATTAAAACTTTATATTTTCAAATGATTAAGTTCAATGAAAAGCCTCCATCCAAGTAATAATCATCTTTAACTATTTGGCATAAACGGTTTTTTTTTTTCAATCACCTTTAACATTGATACGACCTCAAAAATTGTTTTGATCAAGCACGAATCTCGAGACATATTCAAGTTAGAAACTTTCAAAATTAAATTCAGGATCATCTGAATTCCAATTTCAGCAAACTTATAGTGAAACTGAACATCTCAAAAAGACGAACAAAACAACATCAAAATTGGTCGAACTCAAGCCCAAATGGGTCTGAATAGGGGGACATTTGATAAAATGATATCCAAATATGCATGCTTATAATCAAATCGAGCGGCTCGGCGAGATGAATCCAACGAGCACAAGATCTCTGAATTCCGACATCGTTATGACACTTAAATAATTGAAAAACTCTCTATGATCGGGGGAATCAATACGAGCCATCCGATAGAGCACTTCGAACCTACTCCGAATCTTCTCTAAATTTACGGGGTGAGCTACTCATAAAAATCTATAAAAAGACCTCCACTCTCTATATGAGGGGGACTTTTGGTTGGAGATTTCAGAGAGCTCTGAAACTTCAAGAGCTCTAGCACTACCGCCCGGCCGCCAATCATCGCCAGACAATCGCCCAGCCGCCAATCACCGTCGGACTACCTCCCGGCCACCGATCGCCGCCAGATTTTAGCCCGACCATCGTCGGACCGCCGCCCTATCGCCGACCGCCGCCAGACCTTCGCCCAGCCAAATACCGCCGCTGGACCTTCCCCTGGCCGACGACCACCGCCGGACTTTAGCCCTACCTTCATCGGACCACCGCCTATTCGCCGACCGCCGTCGGACCATCTCCCGGCTGACGACCGCCGCCGACTTTAGCCCGACCTTCATCGGACCACCGCCAGGCCTCTAACTGTCTTCAGACCTTCCCCCAGCCAACTACTACTTCCGGATTTCATCCCGACCATCGTCGGACCACCGCCCGGCCGCCGTCAGCAGCCGGACCTTCAGCCGACCGACGTCCATTATCGGACTTCACTCTGAACATCGTTAGACCACTGCCCGGCCGCCGAATGCCTCCAAACCTTCACCCGGCCGACAACCGCCGCCGGACTTCAGCCCAAACTTCATTGGACCACTGCCCGGCCGCCGACCGCATTCAGACCTTCCCCCGGCCGACTATTACCGCCGGACTTTAGCCCAACCTTCGTCAGAACACCGCCTGGCTACCTTCCGTCGCCCAACCTTCACTCAAGCAACGACCGTCACTGAACCTCACCCTGACCATCATCGGACCACCGCCTAGCCGCCGAATGCTGCTTGACATTCGCCCGGCCGATGACCACCACCGGACTTCAACCCAACCTTCCACCGCACGGCCGCTGACAGCCGCCGAACCTTCGCTCGACCGACGACCGCCGCCGGTCTTCAGCCCGACATTTGTCAGACCACCGCCCACACGCCGACTGTCATCGAACCTTCTCCCGACCAACGACAACCGCCCGACATCAGCCCGACCATCGTCGGACCACCGCCCGGCCGCCGAGTGACGGTGGAACTTCATCTCGACTTTCGTCGGACCACTGCCCGGCTGTCGACTAACGGTGGACCTTCGCCTGGCCGACGACTGTCGCCGAACTTCAGCCCTACCTTCGTTGGACCACCGCTCTGTAATCGACCGCTACCGTACCTTCGCCTTGCTAACGACCGCCGTCGGACTTCAGCTCGACCTTCGTCGGACCACTACCCGGTCGTCGTCCGCCGCCGGACCTTTGTTGGATCATTCCTTGTCAGCTGAACTTCTGAACAAAAGCCGTCGGACTTACTCTGCCAGGCCGTCGCCAAACCTTAGACTAGATCTCCAAATTATTGTAATTTGACCACCTCTAATTCGAGGGATGGGCCAACCCTTGTAATTCACTCAAGTTTAGTGGAATCTTTTCACTTGGGCGATGCTCCGTGGTTTTTCCCTCTTTGGACTTTTCACGTAAAAAAGATCGGGTGTTTTACTTCTCTCTTTCTGTTTGTGTGCTAAATATCCGTGCATCGCTATGACGAAAAGTTTACTCACTCTACCATCACGAATCTTCCAGCCCGCAACAAACATAAATATGATAAATGAAATATGCTCAGTGATTAACACAGCCTGAAATATATCTGTCACCTTCCGCTATCTCCAAGCCAATAGTTTTGCACCTCCTTTTAGAATTTCAGTTTAAAAAAATAGAGATGCCCAATCTGAAATATTTTAGTAGGTATAAAAAAGCCATCATGATGTCATGAAATATTGGGAAAAAGTGCTGAGTTCAAATAATGCCAAACTTGCAAAATTTATAAGACGACTTTCTTATTATTTATTTTAGCAGTTTTCTAGTATAAAATTTCTAGTTTAAAAAATATCTATATTAAAAAATTATTTTAGAAAATAGTTTAGAAAGTTATTTCAAATGAAGTCCAAGTGAAAGAACATTAAAGTGGATGATTATTGATCATGAAAAAAAAAAAACACAAATTTTGAAGTATAGTGATCTTTATTTTGTTTAGAAATAGTGAGCAATAAATCATAAAATATGTGATATTGGAGGAACAATTTTGTCGTTTAACAATTGTGGCAACTGACATAAATTCTTTTTCTCGCTAAATTTTTTTCTTACACTGACATTTACTTGATGGAATGGAGAGAAGCATGAGGAGAGATTTAAATGAGATAGAAGAGAGGGATATGTCCAATGGGGTGGGGTTGAGAAAGAGTGGACGAGATAGGAGAGATAGGAGCTCTTGGATAAGGAGAGAAATAGAAAACTATTTACCATTTACAATAAAAGATACTTTTTTTAAGATAAATATAATTAATTATAAGGTGACTAGTACTATGATAATTATAAATGAGGGCATAAATATTGTTAATACTTATGCTTCCTAACTTATATTAGAAATGAATATAAAAAAATCAATTGAATATATACGAGAGTATTCATGTTGAGTATGAAATATGAGATATAAATAAATGGAAAAAGATAAATTTAATTTTGTTATAAGTTAAATAAGAATTAATGATAATGAAAAAATAATTTAGAATTAGAAAAAAAAAATACTCACATTAATCTAACCACCAAATCATTGTAAATCTATTTATACTCTAAAGAAATATTTTCCTTTTTTGTGGATATTGGAAGGTAATTTTTGAAGAATATGAATACACAATATAAATAATAATTAATGACATATATCTTAAGACCATAGAAAAATTTAGTGGACTTAATTGTCCTAGGACATGACCCTAGGACAAGATGGTCAATTTTGAAAAATAAAAATTATTAAACTTTCAATATAAATTTCTCTGAGAGACAAATTTATATTTTTAAACTTGATGTGTGATAAAATGATTACTTTCGTCAAGATGATTATTAAAGAAATTATAAAAAATTTATAAATAGATCATATATTGATAAGTATTTTACTCTCTACCAATCCTCACTACAACACTTAAATGAGCATTGATCAAATCCTTGATGTTTCTATCACTTGATCATCTCACCACCTCTCCTTTTGTTCTCACACTTGACACTTGTGCAGAGATCTGAAAGTCCGCTGATTGATAGTTGCACTCCTCCATACATTATCACATTATTTAAATAAGGAATGATGCTTCATCACCTCATTATGAATGACCAAACAAAAGCCTAATACTTATCCACAATCAAAGCTAAAGTAGATTGTGTAACTATTGTTGGGTCTCTCTTAAACTTAAAAATATCTTCCTTTATATACTGGATGGACTACCTCCATCTTACCATGCATTCAAAATGAACATCAAAATTAACCTATAACCTCTTAGTTTTGATGATCTATACTCACTATTCTATAATAAAGAAACCCATCTTTCCACTGAAGCCCCTATGAAACTCCATTCAATCCAAGCCACTGCTTGTGACCAGAGGTAGAGGCCATGTATACACTAATACTCCCATCAAAAAAAGACGCCCCCCTTTGAATATAGTGAAACCGACTCATTTTTCTTCATCTATGCACCAAGGTAGTAAAGCTTTTCTCACTACACTTTATTTGCCAAATTTTTAATAACCAGCCACTCAACCACTCTTGATTGCAACACCATCATCCCCACTAGAACTCCAACAAGAAAGCTCAGATTGTTGGATATCAAACTTGCATGCATGGTACATTAGCATGGGCACAACACCTCATTGTACCTTTGATTCAATGCAACTATTACATATTAAGCCTTATCAGTAATTACAACAAGTCATTCTTAACAATGAAAAATATCTACCCATCTCCACGATGGGCTAAGGTTTACTTCCCACTCCCACCAATAAGCTCCTCCATTAACATCCCAAATATTTCCATTAACCTCCTCTCTATTCATCTCCTCACTAATAACAACTCTTTTTCTATCTCATTTCATGTTCAGGGTTTTTAAATACAGTATTTTTCGCTCAAGCAACTTCTCCTTAAATCAAATGCCACCTCTAAATAATTTCAATTAAAAAATAGAATCAACATATAATTCAACTTCTTCATTAAAATTTTCCACACTGATTGTAGGGGAAGATACATAAAATCCAACCTGAAAACCCATCTCTCAAGTTGGGACAACCAATATTATTAAACCTATCCGTATACACCTGATAAAAATAGAGTAGCAGAATGTAAAAACTGTCATCTTCTTAAAACTAACCATATTATACTCCTTGAAACATCTCTATCCCATATCTTTTTGGTTGATGTTCTACTAGTTATTACTTATCTTCTCAACAAGTTAGCTTCCCATCAAGTTAGCTTCCCATATAACTAAAAAATCAAAATATCAGCTATTCCACAACAAACCACCATGCTACTCCTACCATATAACATTTTCCTCAACTTAGTTGATAAAAATCATCTAGATATATTAGCTATGTACTCTTGGGTGTTTTGAATACAAAGATGATTTTTA